TGGACACCTGAAGGCAAGCGAAAACGAGGCCATCCGAAAACAACATGGCAAAGAGTTGTGAAAGCCGAGCTGAAAAACCTAGGGTACAGCTGGGAAACTATTGGAAGACTTGCCAGAAACAGACAGGAGTGGAGAAGCTTCATCACTGCCCTAAACGTCAGAGGTGTAAAAGGCACATGATGGTGATGATATTTCCTCCCTGCCCCGCTCGCCAAGCTTCAGGCTGGAATTATTCAAGGGAGCAGGATGAGAAATGTGGTGCTCAAAAGAAAAATTAAGGAAAAGCAATCTCTAGTATATTGCTTATGGTTTTCCCCACTACCAATTGTCTTTGAGGCTTGGGGTATGTTAGTTCCATAGTTAACACACATCTTCTTAGCTGTAAGCTGACAGAGCTTTGTCTGTCATATGATGGTTACTTTTCATAAAGAGTTCTTTCTTTATTTTGAAGAAACTGCATGGCCATGGAGGCATTACATGACATTTTTCTTTTGCTACTTTCAGACCATTACATGCCAGACGGACTTCCTGCCCCTCCCCAAAGAGGAATTTCCCATTAATATCTTTTATTTAGAACCTATCTACATTGCCTCCAAGAAAGGTGCTCTACTGTCTTATAAACACACAAGTCCTGTGTATTAGTTCAAGGGTCTGGGGGGTGCACATGTGCACCCTACCACTTTCCAGAGCAAGTGTACTAATTACTCAGTGAGTGATCAAACTAATGTAACTAATGTAGATTCACTGCATAAAGATATATTAGAGTATCTCAACGGCAATGTTCAACTCAAGAGAAATTCAGACCAATCACTGCTGTACAATCAAGATCAGCAAAGTCTAACACACATTAATAAGAATCAGAAGATCCCATGCAAACTAACCATCAAAATGAACACAGTGATCTGAACTTAACAGTTACCACAAAAATTATGACTATAAAAAAAGGTATTAAAACCCATGAAATGGAATTTGCGTTCTAAAATAGGATACCTGAGACAGAGCAAGGCAGGCAGAGCTGAGGAACTCTGGACTTGAGAGTCCCCAGGCTGAGGCCTTGCTAAAGGCCAGGGGAGGTACTAGAGCTGCAGGGAAGCAGCTGGGGCTAGAAAGGCAGCAATTCCAACCATTGCCAGTGATGAGTGGCCATTTCAGACTGCAGTTTGCCCCTGAGAGAAGGGGCTAGATGACGACTGGCAGTAGCCACTGAGGCAAGGTGGGTATAGGGGTTCCCCTGGGAGGAGAGACCCAGAGTGTGGGGGCACTGCTGTGGGGCAGCGCCCCAAGGTAAGGGAAACTGGGGTCCAGGAGGGACAAGGGGCCAGAGGTGGTGGAGACAATAGGGCAGGTAACTGAGGGCAAGAAACTGGACAGAGGAGGGTGCTCCTGAGCTGGATGAGCTAATTCCCAGACTGACTAGTAGGAGGCGCCACGCCGGGGAGCCAGCACTCTGCTACATGGTGTTACACCAATTCGACCCAAAGTTTCTTTCTGCAGAATTAGCTTTTTTTTCCCTTAAGACACTTCTGTTTCCTTTTTGACTTGAACTCCTTTCCTTGATTCTTCTAGGATTTCTTCCAAGACTGCTTTTCCACCAAATGCTAAACCAGAGTTTATTTTAGTTTTTTTAATTGGAGGAAACTTGCTTAACTTTTGTTGGTTGTCCATTTTAATGGATTAGAAAACTGGATCACTGAATTGTTTACAGTTTATTTGATTCCCTTCCTAATGACACCATTAATCTCATCCTGAATAATTTTCCTGTGGTTTAGTTATTTATTTTTAGCAGAACTGTGATACAAGTGAGTTAAAGTGCTCTGAGTAACTCAGACAGAGAATGATGAAAACAGAATATATGTAGGAAAATGGGCAAGTTCACCAATACCATCTTGAAGTCGTAACAGAAAGTGGGAAAAAATTAGCTAGAATGATAACCAAATCCCCAAATGAGTTAGTCTGATTAAAGATTTTTTTTAAATAGTTTAAAAAATAACTAGAATGAGTTACTGATTTCCCAACAGGATATTTAACACACACACTTTAAAATTATTCAGAAATATTACTTTTAAAAGGACAATAGGCATCTGAAATCATAACAGCAAGTCTATCTAGCAGAGCAGGAAAAGGATTACAATGAGTCTGACTCTGGGAAATGGCATTTACAGGGAGTTTTGTTCCAGGCTATTTTACCTAATACTGTTTTGAACAAGATAGTTCTTTAGAAGAAAACAGCATACTAATCCCAACAAAGAAAGAAGCTGTTCATGTATCTGCTTAATGAGGTTTGGGGCTCAGCCTTGTAACTGTAATAAACTGATTAAGAAAGGGACTGAAGGAAAGGGAAATAAGCCCAATGCCAGATAGATGGTTCATCCAAGTCAAAACATTTATGATCCTAATTTTTTAGACACTTACATTTACAATAGATACTCTGCTCTGAAGCTTAATCAGACTGAGGTCTTTTCAAAACCAGACAAACAGAAACTGCTGGCTTCAAAGCTAAGAAGGACCAGGCATTTGGGAGCAGCCTTGTGATTTTCCTGCAAAAAAGGAGCATGATAATGGTGCCTTCTGCTCTGTGAATAATTCCTTCTAGTTTATTTATGGTATGGTGAAGATGGCAGTCTTAGAAGAGGTCACTACAGTTAGTTCTTTATCCCAGAGTTGAGCATTATGCGGATAATGGGTTTCTCAGTTCATTGATTTTTATTTGGGGGAGGGAAGCAATTGCCAAACAAATTTGTTTCAGATCAAATGAAAGAGTTCATTTTCATTTTGAGCATTTTCATGTTTATTTTAATAAACTGGAAGGAAATTTCTCACTTAACTCATTTCAAATCAAAAAATTTAAACATTTCATTTCAAAGATGTAGTCAAAACATTTACACTTGAAGAGGGGTATTGTGTATGTGCACGTGCATGTGTTAAAATGCATACAATATTCATGAAAAATGACTGCTTCTTGAAACTGTTCTCTGTTGCTGCATTTTTCACCAAGAAAAATTTCACACAGCTCCAATGAGCACTGTGATGGTAATGCAAACATGTGCTCACGGGCCATAATGGGGAGTAGTGATCTGGTGATCTGTACAATTTATCAACTCTGTCTTACCAAGCTGCAAACTCCGTTCTGAACATGGAGGCTAAGTATCTTCTCTATGTTCTTTTTCCTTTATGTTGGATTTGAAATGCCAAAGCTACTGACACGAGAGGATTGTTGACTGCAGTGTTCAGCTACTGAAAATTTAATTGTTTATTGCTCTAGACAAAAAAAAGACTGGCTCGGACCATGAAAACTGATTTGTCAGGGAGAAGGTCACCTGACTACAAAGTGTCCTGCATTTGCCTCCTCAGATGTCACCTCACAAAAGGACTCGAAGGTTAGGTGCTGATCTATTTGGGGATTCTTCAGACTTTCACCAGCTCACACTGAGTGGAGCTGCATATAGGAGACTGATGAGCCCAGGAAACATGCCAGAGAGGCCAAGGCAGGAAACAATACTGCAGCCTGCTGAGACCCAGGGAAGCTTAAAGCACACAGGGGACTCCATGTTGGGATCCTCTCAACCTGGTCTGCCACCAGCAGGGGCACACAAACCAGATCTGTGATATGTTGGGGAGGTGGAAAACGTGGCCTGAAAAAACATTTCAGGATCCTCTGAGGAGTATCCTTTGGGCTGAGGTACAAAATTCCACATGGGTCCTTCAGCACAGATATATGTTTGCAGTCCTAGAACTGTCTTCTTAAAATCAAGTTGCATTTGTTATACAATTGGCCATCCTTGTCCTTTTGATCACCTGCATGTTAATTATGTGCAAGAGCTGGCACAACTTTGTCGGACGCACAGTTTAAAAATAAACCCACAAAGAAGCAGCTCATGATGTTTCACATATAAACTACATGCCCTTCTACCAGCAGAGATGGTATGAGGGGAGGGCTAGTCTCTTTCTGAATAGACTATTTCACACACAAAGATCCTGTATCAGGATCCCCTAGCACAGACACTTGTGGTCATGGAATCTCATAGATATACATTGATTTACACGGATACAGAAGTTTAGCCCAGTGGATCTTGATGCAGGTTCAGGGCAAAAAATCAGATTATTTCTTCCTGTAAATTGTTTTATCATCCATAATTTAGTTTAGCTATAAAAAGCTTACATATTACTGCTGTACTTAGATTAAATATACAGCTAAAATATAGTTTTATCCCATAAAATAAATTCATACTACAAGATCATTAAAAAAATAGTCTTGTTTCAGTTTTGTTTTATATATAAAAGTCAGTAGTTATTATTTGCATAATACTTTGGTCACGTATTTTTAAATAAAAGTTTAGGTAATTATAGTCTCAGACTATAGGCCAAAAATTCTACACAGTTCACCAAAGAAATACTTAATCCGTATTTATTTATCCAATGATTGACCCAGTTGTAAAGCAGAATATCATCCTATATCAGCAATCTGAGAAATACTTTTTAAGAGAAAGCATATATGAATCAAAAGTAAAATAAACTTTCCTGCCTCTAAAAAGCTTTTAAGACTGTTTACAGAGAAACCCTCTGCAGCACTGACAACCTTAGCTAGGGCTCCCATGAACACTTTTAAATTTACTTCAGTCAGGTTGGTTTTTGACTCAAACATTTACAATCCCCAAACACATCATTCTAAAACAAAAAGGCATTTTACTCAGCACCAAAGAGCTGCATTTTGTTTAACTACTTACAAAAGATAGAGCAGCACATTCTACATAACACCATATACTGCATTTATAGAGTCTTAACTTCACTTTCACCTCCAGGACTTGAGGATTTAGTATTGCTGATTAAGTCTACATCAAAGATGAAATTAAAATGTTTAAAATCAACTTGTCAAAGTACAAGAATTGTGTTTTTTAAATCACAGTATTTAGATTCATTTATGATAAACTCTTATCAGCACCAGAAAGTAACACAGTAAAATATGTATGTAAATCATTGAGAGAGAAAAGGAGTTTACATACCTGGGGCTAACAGGAAATAGATCTGTAGTTTTCCAGATCTACTTTAATTACAAGTTTCCCAGTGCTGATGCAGTTTGGATCTCTTGAACACCACATCCACGCAAAAAAAGTTGGTTTTTATCTACAACTGATATCAATGGGGGAGGGGGGGGAGGGAGGAAAAACACATGTAGTTTAGAAAAGTGTATTTAGAAAAAAAGACTCTAAAATCACTATTTGCACTCAGAGGTTATGCTGCCTATATAGTAACATACAAGAGCAACCAGCACTGTACAAGCATCACAACCCACCTAATTACTTTCAGCTGTTTGTCATGTGGTCTTGCTGACTGATCAAGTGACTTCTTTTCCTCCTTTCACAAGTCTAGCAACCCAGTTAACTAGCCCATCCTCTACCAAGTATAAATGTATCAAACCTTTGCTTAACCCAGGGATCAAGTCTGAGTGTGTGTAGTTAAAAAAAGAGAGTGCATTTTATTTATTTTTAAATAAAAACAAGCTACAAAAGGATGCTAGCCTATTATTGTGCGGTTGTTTTTGTTTTTTTTTACAAAATGTTTATAAATGGGACATCAGCCAGCATCAAGCAAAAGCTCCCTAAAATGTAATGAGCAACATCAGCTTCAAGCATGCTGGGTCCACATCTTCCCTTACAACTGATCCATAACAAAAACAGACAACTTCCTTTTAAAAAAAATAAGTCAGGGAAATCTTCAGTTAAATAGGACATATGACAGCAGTAGAATGAGAACCAGATGCCAGAGAATTTTAGTAAGTGTTTAACCAATCCTGCAATGAGCATTGGACCGACAGACCCCTGCACTGCACAGAGCACCAATGTAATCACCTCTGTGCGGGTGTAGGAATCCACCTGCAGAGAGTTTATTGCAGGAGTGGGGTGTTAACCATTAAATAGATACTTTCTTAAATAACTTTTTACACTTAAATTTTAAGTTAGAGACATTTCATCAGTATTGAAAATTTGCAGAGTGGAGGACCTGTCTATTATTTACTTCTATTGCTTCCCATAGAAAAACACACAATACTAAACAGTATAACCTTGTACATACAGACATTTCCTCCTCACAAAATAATGTTGCAGGCTGCATAGAGGGCTATGCTCTATAGCACCATTTACTATGGTTTTCAGATTTAAAAGTTAAAAACCTTGGCTAACAGTTGTGTCTAGCACTGTTTCAATTATAGTATAGAGGCGACCTGCTCGATGGGAGTGAAGTCTTACTTCCCCTTTGAACAGCTAGTCACATTAACCTCTTCTGGAGTATTTTACTGGTTTCAGCTGGTGGATTTAGTCCTTTAGCTCAAGCAACAGAGGTTCATGCTTTTATAGAGCTCTCTTGTGCAGGGCACTGCACAGACAGAATTTGTTTTACAGCTTTCTTCAAATTATAGTTACAAATTTTACCTTGGAACATAGTGTATATATAAGAAAATATCAGTTTATGGATTTCTTTAGAACTCCACCAACTCAATTGTATTGAGAGAACATTTTATAACTGTTCATTTTGCAAAAAGCTACAACGATCTAAAACATAAATTCCATGCTCAGTGCTAGAATCATGGTGCATATGCATGCAGCAATATGTCACTTGATAAATTAGTATCACAGTGTTTGCCAAAATCCCACCTATACTGTCCCTTTACTCAGTCAGAAGGACAAGTTTAACAGTAGCAGGGTGGTGCCAGAGCAAAGCACTTCGATCTTTTGTTGCGAGCAGTGGGAAATTAACATGAAAATTAAGCCAAAACAACAGGGTGTGAACCTCGAGGGGATCGAGACCCAAGAAGAGATTCCCATAAATTCATGGGAACTGAAAATCACCAAGTTTTGCACAGCTCTATGAGTCACTTACAGGCACTTCACATTTTGAAATGATTTCAAAAGAGTCTCTCTAACAGATTAGGCATTTAAACCACATCATCTCCCCCAATAGATGCGGGATTACCTTTAACATCATTCCCTTTCCTACTTCAAGGCTCTCTCCTCACTATTTCTTGGTTTGCTCTCTCACCTCTCAACTCTAGAAGAAGATTTCTAAGTTTGTTCTCAGATTTATTTATTTAAAGCATGATGGGTAAAACATCCCATGGTGTAGAGGGTCCCTGCACCATTTATTGAAGCCTTGTATTTGTCCATTGCAGATGGAGCAGCCATGCAATAGGGTTTCCCCACCATCCCCAAATAGGTCAGCATGGAGGCAGGTTAGGTCAGCAGTTAGTGAAGCCACAATTACACAGATCCAGTAGTTTTAACCCCTGGCACAAATAGAGTAGAGAGACTAATGCCGCTACTTTTGCTCAAATACTGCAACCCCAAACTCTACCGCTGGACTGCGGGTGGATTTACTGCATAAAGTCTGATTATTCTGACTTTATTTAAGCGAAAGGAAAAGACTTTAACCACACTTACTTCTGTTACTGAGGAATCCATCAAATTATCTTACACGCTTGGAGTACTTACATAGGTACATCCCCAATATTCAAAGCACATGTACACCATGATTTATAAATGCTTGTCAGTGATAGCTGAGGGCATCAGTACTGGTCAGAAGGGGCTCAGTACCATGAGTGCCAGGATGTTATTGATGTGATCTATTATTTTATGCTGGGCTTTGAATTTTATTTGAAAATATATATATTTTAATTAAGGAAGGATAGCTATGAGCAAATAAAAAATACACTATTGTTGGCATGATTAGTCTCCATTTATACAACATTTTCAAGATACAAAGTACTAAGATGTAAAAAACAGATCTAATTTAACATGCACTTCTTAAAAAAAAATCTAGATAATTGATCAAAATACCTCATTTACTGGTGAATTTTACATTAAAAATGCATACAATTATAAAACCGTAACTGCTTGGGCATTCACACACAAAACTGACTTCCTCCTTTTCTTAACCCGTCTCTTTGATCTGTGCATGTTGTTCAATGCAGCCTAACAATACCAGGACTCACGTTTTTTATCAACTGGTTCTGGTCAAAATTAAGTGTTCACTTTAAGACTCCATTCTGACCTGTGACAATGTGATGCAATTTATTTAATAAGTATACAAAATACACTTTCTTGCAGACAGTTACTGGTCACCATTGCTTGAAAAATGTTGGGAGTATCTAATTTATTTAGAGAGATCCTGAATAAGTGATAGGAAGATAATCCTGCAACTTTTACTTGTTTGAGTAACCACAAGCAGCCCCACTGAAGTCAGTGGTCCAATTCCTTAGTATTTTATTGGGTCAAACTCCCACTGACTTCAAAACAATAATATGGCAGAATAAGAACTTGTAAAAATGTATGGACCAATCCTGCTCTCACTGACTTTCATGGAAGGAAAAATTAGACCCTTACAAAAGGGCTTCATAATTTCAATCGAAATAGTCTGGTGAATAAAGCTGCCCTCCGTAAATATAGTTTCAGGATTTTTAATAGCTTTTATAGCTAAATATTTCTGACCCAAACCCGTTGCAGTCTTTCACACTACTTTGGTGTAGCCGCATCAAGAACTTGTATATACGTGTATAGTGTAGTTCAAATCATAGTCTTATTGTCTGCTCCATAAAGCATCACAGAAATTTACTTCAGTAGATTTCACAAATTCAGAATTAGACAGTAAGAGATCACTAATTCCAGGAGGAAGAGAACAGTCTGACAAATGGTTAGCCTAATGAAGTCTTGGGCAGCGCAACCAGAACTAGACATAACTACAGGCCCACACTCAAGAAAAAGACACAGGAAATCAAAAAAAATATATATATATAAAGCCACACTTTATAGCACTTTACAGAGCCCCACAAGAGCTTTGTAAAGGTGGGTAAGCAACATTATCTCCATTGTGCAAAGGGGAAACCCAGGCACTCTAGGAACCAGGAGGACATTGGCGGTCCGGCCTAGTGGTCACGAGGAGGAGTCTGGAGCAGAGAAATGAAAGTGAGGGTGTGACACCCTGTACCCCATGTTCACCACTTTTAGATGGTTATATATTTTGTACAAACTATGCCTTGTGAGGTATGATTTGAAAATTCAATCTTCTGGATATTATTATTCTGTTAAAACGTGTGTGACAACACTGCATGCAAAATTACATGATTTTGCTTTACATTACTAAAATATGTTCTGGTTCTGGAGAATGTTGTTTCTGAAGAGCTAATTTGTGGGAAAAGAACCGACCACGGGTGTGAAGAAACTATTAACTGCTTAAGCAGCCATCCTCCAAGGAGGAGATGATATAAACAAAAATTTATATTTCATCCCAGAGATGGTTCAAATCTCACGAACACAGAGGAATGTTCTTCTACACCCCGGCAGGGGGTAATCCTGAAAGAGGAGGAGGAGGAGGAGGGGGGTATAAAAATAAGAGACCATGACCCCCACATCACCCCTCTCTTCCTCCCATCTCTCTGTTCATCAGTGAACACCTGAAGGACTCTGAAGTGGGGGAGGGGTACCTGGCTGAAAGGAAATCCAGTCTGTGAACTGTTCCAGCTTATGGGGAGACAGTTATTTTGCTTTTAAGTTCACTTAGGTATTAGCTTGTGTTTTTATTTCTTCTGTAACCAATTCTGACTTTTATGCCTTATCACTTGTAATCACTTAAAATCTGTAGTTAATAAACTTGTTTTGCTTTATTGTTTTATCTAAACCAGTGTGTTGGATTGAAGCGTTTGGGAAGCTCTATGTAGGATAACAAGACTGATGCGTAATCATTACCCAAAGTTGGAATGATGGACTTACTATGAGCTTATACTGTCCAGGAGAATACTGAGCAGTGCAAGATGCACATTTCTGGGGAACAAGGCTAAGATTGAAGAATATGCGTACGTAAATTCACGAATGGCTGGGAAAGCATTCATGTAACATCGCTAGGAGTGAGTTTACATGCTAGTGGCTATATATGAGTAGGACCGGGAAGGTGGCTGTTCACAGGAAAGCAGTGTAAAAGGCACCCCAGACTAGAGAATTAAGGGGACTCAGCTATTCAACAATCCAGATTGTACCCTTGGGAATGTCACAGAGGGTCAGAACCAGAATCAAAGGCTCTAAAATCACCAAGCCAAGGGTCAAGCTAGAGTAAGAGCCAGGAATCCGAGCCCAGGGTCAGAACCG